CCACGTTGTCCCCCCTCTTTCCCTTCCTCTCCTCTGCAGACATAACCCAAAAGTGAACAGCTCCAAAAATGAATAATTTTGCTTCAAGAGGTGCGACTTTGGATTGTTTAAGCTATTTATGGAATACTTGAAAGGACTTGTATTCAAGTGGGTCCAGACAGCCTTTGAGGTCTTCCAAACACGTTTGAAATGTTTTGTTATGCCTGTCCACACCCCAGTAGAGAAAAAAATTGGAGAAGAAAAAAAGTACAGAAAGAAATGGAATGGAGAGGGACAAGGGAACAAGAGAGAACAAGGGGAAAAAGAGAAATAGAGCAGTCTGAGTGTGTGGACACAGGAACACTTTTAAAAGAGAGCCCTTCTAAAAGGGGTTTCAAAAGGGCAGTGGACTGATATTTCTAATTGTTATATATGAACCAGCTGAGAACAACCGCAGCCAATCCTGTCCAACTTTAACCCTGGATGAAAGAATGTTAGTTGGAACTGATTTGCTGCATTTGAATTGCTTGCAGCCCTTCACACACACAGCAATGAGAATATACCAGCTACTGCTCTTCTGAAACACTGCCCTTCCAAGGGCTCTGTTTGTATGTCCACACCATGAAAGGTGTGATGGGATAGGGAGCAACAAGATGTAGACAAGTGAGAAAACAGGTGTTTGTGTTTGGAAGCCAAATAAGGAGCTAAAGAACAGTTCTTGTTTCTACTACTGAAAGGGTCAAAGTTTGTAATTTTTGTTCACTGGCAAGCTGCCAACCCCCAAACTGACTCTCATAAAAATCACAAAAGAATACAATATACAATAAATGCAAATAAAATGTGCTTTCCAAAAGGTTTCAGCTAAACTGATATACAAACATGTTTCATTATAAGCTAATGACATTTTATTAAAGTCATTAGCTTATTTCATTATAAGCTAATGACATTTTATTAAGACCCTGTGCATACATCTCAATATGCTCTGAAGGGTCAGTCTGCTTGGAGACAAACAGTCATTTTGGTAGAAATCTGCACAGGGGAATATGAACAATTTTGCAGTTCTCATTGATGGAAAGTACCGTTGTATAGACTCATTTATAGTATTTTTCCTGAGAGGTGCCCCCCCCCAGCATCTCATTTAGTAAAAAAGGAATAAGGTTAATTATTCCATTAAATAGAGAGTAAAGAAAGATATAAAGAGGCCTCCCAGTTCTGCTCCTTATTCTCCAAAATCAAGTGCTACACTTTTGCCATGCATTTGGTGCTCAGCTCAGTGAGAAGAGGCATTTTAAATTAACCCACATTTGATACTGCACATTTGCAACACAAAAACGTTGCACATATCTATTCAACAGTTTTTTAGAAAATTGTTTGATATCTTTGGGTGAAGGTATGTAAGAGCAAAGTTTGATTAAAATCACATAAGGGCATATAAAGTTACTGAATGGACAAGAAGAGTTCAGAATCAATCATTACCTGGACAGATTATTCTAGTGTTAAGCACTGGGAGGTTTTCTTTACTGGCTGCCAAGGCTGCGGCAGAGAAAGAGCCTGTCTGAGAATGGACAGCTCGACTTGTACGTCGATCTGGAGATCTTGGTGCAGTTTTGGCTGTGCAAAAAAGTTAGAACAAAATGCAAACTGAAATATACATTTGTGCACTAATTAAGGGGTGTATATTTGTGCGTGTGATATGTAAGTTTCACAGTCTCAAAGTATTTTACAAGTATTAACTATTAATTGTACCTAGTACTCTCTGAAAAGTGTCCCTCATCTTTCAACAGGATAGAAAAACTAGATGCAGAAAGGTCAAAAGATATGCCCAAGTTATTTCTCAGTGAAAGGATGTGAGATCAGAAGATCAGCTGCTCTGCACAGAGGCTACACACATACATTCAAATGATCTGGGAAAAGTCTCCCAGATTTGTTTTCCTGATAGAAACACTTATCCAGAGACCTCTAAACAGATATTTGAATGCTGAGCCCGTGAGGAGCAGACTGCTTGCAGTGCTTACACTGCACAGCCAGGGGCCCCTGTACACATCTCAGTGTGTTCTGCAGGTTCCCCCGGTCTGCATGGATGTGCACAAGGCAGCCCTGACTGGCTGATCCAGACTGCTCAGGGCCAGCTTGTGTCACCCTGCTACACAACATAAGGATTGTGAAGGGGCAGTGCTTTGCTCCGTGTGTGGCCAGAGCAGTAAAGTCCAGCCTGAGTGACACACTGGGGGGGGGGGGGGGCCAGGGGAAACAAAGCATCATGGGATGCTGAAGGACCGTGCTGCAACTTCTCCTACAAAGAATTGTTTTCAGACATTCACTCTCCCACAAAAAAACACTCCTGGGAGTGATTTAATCCTGGTTGTTACTGGATTCTCTTGGAGCAGCCATTTTTGCTCTGGGAAAAAAATATGAACATCCATATATACGTGGTTTCTCCTGGGAAAGTAGCAACTCTCCCAGGAGAAACAATGTGTGTACGTGGCCAGAGCAGGAACAACTGGGTCACAGCAGGGGATGGGCAGCCTATGGTGCTGGCTGGTTCACAAAAGGTCCTGTTTAGCTTAGCCTGTGTCTACTTGTTTCCCAAACCTGAAGTAAAAGGCACTTTGTGCCCAAAAACACGTTCAGCATCTCTCTCAACTGTTCAGCTGATCCAATAAAAGGAATCACAAAACCTCCCGAAGCTAAACCCTGGCCAGCTCCAGAAACATGGATAAGAAAAACTACAAAGCAGTTAGAGGACCTGCATATTTTTTCTTCCCATCTGCATAATCATTCGTTTAAAAAATTAATAGGAAATAAATTATTAAAAAAAAGAATAGTATAAACATGTGTGCTGCCAACAGAGCAAGTGTTTAAATGTTCTGCAGTTCACCAGGTGAATTATTAAACTGAAAAACTGGAGAGTGACAGAAAAAAAGGGCAAAAGGTAATTCAAGAAGTGGAAGAACTGCCTTACAAGAGATTTTGAGAGACTGAGTAGCTTATTAAAAAGAAGATTGAGCGGTACCTTGATTATGCTGCATAAATACCTCCACAAAGATCATATACTAGGTACTAAAAGGTCTCCCTAATCTAGCAAAGTAAAGCATAACAAGGGCCAAAGCCTGGAAATTAAAGCCAAACAGATTAAAATTAAAATGAGGCAAATATTTTGAATGGCGAGGATGATTAACTACTGGAATAAGCTATCAATGAAGCAATGAATTGTCCATCCCTTTTTATCTTTGGATTAAGGCTAGATGTGTTTTTTGGTGACAGGCTTTTGACAAAAACAAGTTATTTGGCTCAGCAGAGGGATAACTGGCTGAAATTCTGTGCCCTCTGTTATACAAGATGGTCCCTTCTGGCTTTTAATAGCTATGAATTAGCTTCAGCAGCTATCAAGCGATAGTGTTGTAAGACACAGCATCAACACAAACAATCTTTGGCCTACATGCCTGACCAGACAATTCCAAAATGTTTGAAAACAAGTGGAAATAAAATTAGCAAGTTATATTTAAATTTTACCTAACAAGAGTTTATTAAATATTTAGACTGAGGTAATTAATGCATGGAAAACGTTACTTTCTTCAACTGACTGAGGGACAAATCTCAGAGGGTAAAAAAATAATTCTCAGAACACAATTAACATTCACTCATCATAATGCTACTGAAAAATTCACAGTGCTGTTCTTACAATCTGTTCCCTCTATTCAGGAACAAGGCGGTTACATTAAAAGAAAAAAAAAAAATCAGCAGAACAGCTGCTCCTTATTTGACAGATGAGACGCATGGGGATAAGCTGCAATAAAGATAAACTTTTGCTGCTCATGCTCTGATAAAAGCCAACAGAGCCTTAATGAGTAAAACTGGTGCTTCATTGCATATAATTGAATTCATGTTTCATGCTCTCTCCCTAAACACCCACCTCCCACAGACAGAATTAATATGTGCTCCACTTCATGCATTTTAGATGTAGGAACAGCTTTCCAATCATTACAGAAATAATGTTACTCTAGGAACCCATGATTATTTGATGCACAAAGAAGTTCAGCATAGATGACCATTCCAAACAAAGAAAAAAAAATCAGAACCAAAACCCCCTAAACTCCTTGAGTCATGCTTTGCTTATTTTCTCTTTTTGGCAAAGAAATAATGCGATAATTAGGATATTTAACCAGGGATGATGGTAGCCATAACAACCCTTTATATAATTTAATACATTTAGGTTCTGATAGGCAGCAGATCTTTCAGGAGCTGAAGCTGTGAATGCACAAACTTAACACAAAAGTTTGCTTACAAAGCAGAGACTTAAAAAAAAGTCTAAAGAAAAAATGTAAATGGCCCAGGTTCTCTGGGCTGTCCACACCAGTCCATTTTAGCTCAGGTCTTGCAATTAGGTGTTTCAGCATATTGTACAGCCCCATTCTAATTGGAATTGACTGTTTGGAATTTGGAATTAAAAATGTAACTGCTTGTTGTATTTTGCAATATAATTCAATACTCATAAAATCTCAGGCTTAATGCCTGAAATCCTCTCAAAACAGGTTTGACACTCGTGACAGAAACAGAAACCTCCCACATGAGCCCATCTGTATGCTCCATACACCGACTGAAAATGGACCACCTAGAAGAGACAAATACAGATTCCATATTCCTGCAGTCCTTGAAACTTTGGCTTTTCTGGTAAGTGTACTCATTCTTATTAGCATCAATCCAAGTAAAGTCAATTCCTTTTATATAATATATTAACAGAGAGAGACAGAGTATTAATTGTAGTACATATAGTTACTGCTCCATAACTATGCCATTCCGGTAAAGAAATCAGGGCTCAGTAACAGACTTTAAAGGATTCTAAATTCTTCCCTCTTTAAACCCAGCAATTCATCACATGAAAAACGATAACTTGGAAAGATTGCCACACAATGAAAAAAAAATCTCAAAATTAAAGGCTGAAAATGTATTATCCATTAAGTAGCACTGACAGACTGCTATATTTTTAAACCCTAAATCTCAGGAATTCAGGACAGGACATTATCAACTAAGGTTCCATCATCATATAAAAACCACCTTCTTTTCACCTATGTCTTAGAGATCCTTAGCCATTTCAAATCTGTCTTCTTGATACAATCAATTCTAACATATAATTTTCAATTTCAATACAACTCTCTATCAATCTTTTCAATGTGTACCAGTTGCAAAAGGGCTTCATTCTCTTGCTTATTGCAAAGGTATCAGAAAAACTCAACAGAACCAGTTTAGTAGATGAACAAAAGAGAGACAAAATTAACATTTTTTTCTAGGTTACTATATATATATATTTGGCAAATTGAAACAATATGTTTGAAGTGGAATGAAACATCTTATTCAGCTCAAATTAAACAGTTCCATACCATTTTTGTGCTTCTTTATTAAAGGCAAAAGGTTAAATTGACAGGAAAAGGCGGAGTACACAGTGGTTATACTTGCAGTATACAGCAGTGCTTAAGGCCCCCATATGGCACAGAGAAAGAAAAGAGAAGCTCAATCTCTTCTCCTGATTCAGAGCAGTGATTTAAACCTCAGTCTTTCACCTCTCCACAATTCACTAGCCGGGGGATTTGGATTGGCTTCCGTTTCTGCTATTCACTTCGTATCAAAGTGAAGTTATTAAGAGCAGGTTAGACAAACATTTGACTGGAATGGTTTAAAGAGGGAAGATCCTACTACCTTTACCAAGGGTTGGGCTAGATGACCTTGTGAGGTCCCTTCCAGCTTTATTACTCTATGACTCTAAATAATCATCACAACAGAGATAGAAAGAAGCATACTAGAGCCCAGTAGCTCACACATTTGAAACACCTGAGTTTCAGATCCAACACTCTTTAACTATTACGCAAAATACAAGAGAAAGAGATAATTCTCTTATACACCAAGACTAAGGGTGTTGGGCAAGGCCAGCCTCCCCACTACCCCTGCCCGACACCTAAGCAAGCCTGCCCCTTCCCAGGCAGCACCAGGTGTCTTGCCAGTTACAGGAGCCCACTGAAGACACAAATGGTGAGGGGGTGCCCTATCCTACTCTTGGCAGAGCCTCCCTGCCTGCCCTGAAGTCAAGGAATGAGCTGCACAGGACATGAGCTTCCTCGCCTCTCCGGGGGTGGGGGCAGTCCTTCCCTCTGTGACAGCAGCACCCCCCCACCCCCCCACCCCAGGCCGGCCCCAGGGGCCCAATCCAACTTCCTGGGAGCCTGCCAGCATAACAACTCTCACACAAGCCCACCCTGAGCTTCCAGCACCGCGCACTGAGTCAGGGAATGGTGCATAAGTCGAGGTTGAATTTTGAGAGTTAAAAATTTGTCTTCAAAACTTGACACATACACCATGAAATATGCTAGTTTCAGGTCACCAAAAGTTACATTTTTCATGGAATATTAATCTATGCTTTGCAAAAAAAGTCAAATCTTCACTTAGGTCACACGGTTCTTAGAACTCCACTGCAATAATATGCGTGGCTCAGGGGATACAAAGCAGAGTTCCAGAGCACAGTTTATACAAAAAAAATAATTTATTTTCAGAAAATAGAAATAATATCAATATAATAGTAGCAAAATCGCACTAATACTGGAAATGGTCTAACCCCATTAACTATGAAATGAGAATTTTTGCTTCTAAAAACTAAAATGTTGTTAAGTTGTTCTTTAGTTACTTTTTTAAAGTAAAGTAATTTACTCTTAGTTTGCTTACTTGACTGGAATTCATGTTCCCTTGTATCTTCCTCTTTTTCCTCTTCCTTGGATTCTTCCAATTCTTTACTATATTCTAGAGCAGACTGGTTCTCTTGTTCTTCAGTATGAGCATTCTGTTCATCCACAACTGCTTATTCAAAGGAGGAAATGTTAAAGTTTCTTTAGAGAAATATGTATATGTGGAAGATGTAACATCCTATTTCTGTAGCACTAGTATAGGGTTTATGAATAACAGTAACAGGTCTCATCTGCCCTATCAGAACAGGAGCAGTGCAACAGCCTTTGCCAATGACAAATACTAGGTGCTTTAAAAAGCTCCCAAAAGAGTAAGTAATAAAAAAAGAAAGTGAGCTGTGAACAGAACAGCTTGCTACAAGAAGGGGCCAGGCAGCTGTGCTAAGTGTCCAGGACTTTGCATTGTATTCCATTGCTGGATTCTTCAGTGCTGCATGCAGGGGTCTCCTATTGACACTAGAGAAAGCTGCATATAGGCAGCACCCGGAAAAAAGCTGGTCCCTCACTTCTGGTGGCCAATTTATAATCTGACTGTTACTTTGGCAGAATTTTTGCATTAAAACCACTGTTAAACCCTATTATATCTTAAAAGCAAAATTACTATGCAGTGTGCTGCTTTTCTAGAAAGAAAGAATATGAGTCAAAGTCACTGAAACAACTCTGTATACAGCAGTATAACAATGGGTGGCCAAGAGGGGCATAGGCCCTGGGCACCAGGATGGTGCTAAAATGCCAGCTCACCCTCCTGTCCCGCATCCATCCCTCCCCCACACACCCTGCACCCTCCAGTTGCTTCTGATCCAACAGCAGGGAGGGAAAAGAAGAGTGGCAGCGCACAATGCAGGAGTACCAGCAACCAGAGGTTAGGTTCACTATTACTAGGGAAGATGTCACTTTTTTTTTTTTTTGCTGCTGAAAACCAGCGGGCTTTTTGGCTGCTCAATGCATGACAGTGGCAAAAATACAAAGTGAAAAGGCATTGCAGGGTGTGCCCTCTGATCCAACAGCAGGGAGGGAAAAGAAGAGTGGCAGCGCACAATGCAGGAGTACCAGCAACCAGAGGTTAGGTTCACTATTACTAGGGAAGATGTCACTTTTTTTTTTTTTTGCTGCTGAAAACCAGCGGGCTTTTTGGCTGCTCAATGCATGACAGTGGCAAAAATACAAAGTGAAAAGGCATTGCAGGGTGTGCCCTCCCAGCCAGTTCACCTCTGTCTTTACATTTCAAGATTTGGCAAAAGGGGAA